TAAAATCGAATCCATACTCTAGAACATATACATGTTCTAGAACCGGACAGCTTGGGTTCAAATCCTGGTTCAGCCACTTACTGGCCATCGACATTGGCCAAGGCACATGCCCTCTCTTCCTCGGTGTCCTCATCTGTTTAGTGGGAATTGTAGCCCTAGTTCTCAGTGTGTAGATTGGTGAGGATCAGCATGAGCTGGTTTGTACAGAGTGCTTTGAACAATGTCCAGCATATTGTAGACACCAAGTAAGGTCTTGGGAGTTGTATTGAACTCCATCTGAATTAATGCTGTGTTTTGTGGATAAAATGTTTATTTATTGATAGTTTACAATTTTCTTTTTGCATTGGGGAGCCAGTTTGTATTTTGGAGGTTTTGCAGATCCTGGGATCTAAGTAGGGATGAAAATGATTCACGTGTGTGCGAGGCCTCTTGGAATTCAGGCAAGGCCCCGCGACCAGCCAGTTAGGAGAAGAGGGCAAGCGAAGCGCAGCAGGAGACGCTGCCCGCGCCCGCGGGGCCCCGCCCCTTCTCTGTGGTGCCCGCCTCTGGCCCAGGCGCAGTGTCTGGCTGCGACCTCCGGATCCTCGCCCAGGTGGGACTCCCGGCTCCAAGGGGGCACGCAGATTTGCCTCGCCCACCGCTGACTTGAGGTCAGCCCGGGAGGTGATGTGGCTCAGCGCCGGTGGCCTGTGTGTGAGGGCGCAGCTGGGCCGGATCCGCGGCAGAGCTCCGGCGGGAGATGCTCAGAGTGCCGCTGCGGGGCGGGCGGGGGCCGGCTGGCTGAGGCGCAGGCCGCCGGCCGGCAGCCCCATGGATTCGTTCAGCTGCAAGTGGCTAACGGTGGCCGTGCCACAGGGACGCGGGTGTACAGGCCTAGGACCCCAGCCTTGCCCTCGGCCGGCTCACAGGCTGCAGCGGGCAGGTGAGCAGACCGAGCGCAGAGCGCGCTGTGAGAGCGGGGGGCGCGCTGGGCTCTCTGTGGGGACACGGGCGGACACTCGGCGCGGGCTGGGGCGGGAAATAAAGTGCCAGCCTCGTCCAGTTATTCTGCTCTAAGGGTGTGTTGAAGCAAAGACGTTCTGGGCCACATGTATGGCCTCTGATACCCCTGTTATCTTGCTCCCTTGTTTAAAAATGACCTAAAACAAAAGGGAGAAATGGCAGTAGCCTCCGCTCCTTCCCCGAAAGCACTTTTCGGTTGGTGTCTTGCTGGAGGGCAGGAGAGCGCTGTTCGAGGGCTCGCGGGTCCTTCCCCAGCGAGGGTGGCCGTGCACGAGGACCATCTGAATAGAGCCGGTCACACCGCTGTGCCCCGGGGACGTGGCCCTGGAGCCGGCGGGGACCGGAGAGCTCCGGCAGGCCACGCTGGACTCCCGGCGCGTCTCCCCTCCACAGGGCGCTGCCCACTGGCCGAGAGCTCGAATCTGTTTGATGGCACCTTCGTGGCCTGGCTCTCTTCCCAGGGGCGTCCATCGGTGACCGCTTGACGCCTGGCACACAGCGCTGTGTGAACGAAGAAAGTAGAGCCGCTGTACTCGCCGGCCAGCCCGCCCTGAACATGCCCGCTCCCACGTGGTATCACTTCTGTTTAGTTTGGGAGCGGGAGCCCGGGCAGCCTTCGAGAAGTGCTTCGGGCTGCAGCCGGCAGCCCTGGGAGCTCCCCCAACGCGCTCACCCCGGCGCACCTGCCGCGGGCGTCTTTGGCGGCGCTCCCGCGCCCGGCCAGCAGGTGGCAGCCTTACACCAGCGCTGCAGGGAGCGAGGGGCGGCCCAGGGCCAGCGGCGCTCCGTGACCCCAAGTGCCTGCCCCTCTCCTCCCTCCCATCCCGATGCCCACCGATCGCAGGCGGCCGCGTCGCCCACCCTGCCACCTCTCTGCAGGAGCCCGGGCGTCTTCCGGCCAGTTTCCAGCTGCTCACGGGAAGTTGGCTTCTCCGCTTCGCCGTGCCGGCTCCGAGGGGCAGGGCTGGCTGCGGGCCCGCAGGGCCCTGCGTGTGCGGGAACGCCGGGCTCCATGCTCGGAGCGCAGTGAGAACGTCCGTGCGGCGACAGCAGAGCGTTGAACCGAGCGCGGCCGGCGAAGCCAGCCACGCTGAGGAGTCTGAAGGTGGCTCCTGTCCCCCCTCCGTCCCGGTGACGCTCTCTGTGACACAGGGGCTACCTAAAAGGAGGGTCATGGAGGGCTGTCCAGAGAGGTGGACTCTGAGCCCTGGAAGGGAACTGAGAGGTCCTCTGGTCCAATCGCCTCATTTATAGGGCACTGAACTCAATTCCAGAGAGACCAAGTGGCTTGCCCGAAGTCCCCGGCGGGTGGCCGCCCGGAGCGGAGTGCCCAGGGCCACACGGGCTCCGCGAGGGCGTTTTCACAAGACTTCCTGTCACTCAGGCAGACGGCGCTTGGCTTCTGGCCACTCTGGGGGGCCGGGGGCTCTGACCCGGTGCTCCCGCGGTGCTCCTGTGCAGGGCTCTGCTGCAGGCCACTTCCCCCTCGGGACGCCCCTGCCCCAGATGCGGCTGCCCTCGGGGGTGTCAGACCGGCGGGGGACCCGACCCGCGGGGGGTGCTGGCCGCTGCGAGGGCCCCTGCTGTCCTCTGAGTGGACTGGGACACGGGCCGTGCCCAGTGCAGAGGAGGGACGTGATCCCAGGTCGATGTTCAAACCGTCTCCCTGGCTGCAAGGCTGGGGAAGAGGACGTAGAAGATGGGAGGTCTTTTCGGGTCATTCCAGGAGTCCAGGGAGGGAGGGTGGTGACTCAGACCAAGGTCACAGTGAGGAAGGGACAGGGCGCCCTTGGCCTCTGGCGTTATATATGTATGTTTTATATTTTTTAGTTTTTGTTATGGAAAAATCTCAAATATAAAAGTAGGGAGAAAAGCCTAACGAGTTGCCAAGTTCCTACTCAGCACCCTGTGGACCTGTCACGTGCCGGGCACCTTCCACGGGCCACGACGGCTGTCGGCTGCGACCGGCCTAGCTCCATCTGTGCTTCCCTCTGTCGGCCGCCCGGGATGGGGGGGAAGCTTGAAAGCGCCCCCAGGCGCCATGTGCCGCAGGTGAGCCGTGGGTGCCTGCCAGGCCGCGGCCCCACCCGCCGCGTGTCCCCGCGCTCACCCTGGCTCTGCCCACGCCTCGCGGCCCACGCTCCTCGCTCCCCTGCGCTGCCTGCCGCTCTGTCCCCTTCAGACCGTTCCCCTCCCTGCCAAGGACGTGCAGTTGTGCAGACGCAAACTCCAAGGAGCGGTTCTCCTGGGTCCAGGCAGTGGGGTGCCCCATCACGCTGCGCCTAGGAGCGGGCCAGGGGCCAGGCTGGTGGCCCGGGTCGGCGCCCTCTGCTGGTCAGCGGGTCAGCCTGCCGCCAAGGTCAGCTGCCCAAGGCGGGGTCACAGCAGCGCAGCCCGTTAGCAGCAGCCGAGGGCTGCTCTCCAGTCCTAGTGAATCGAGGAGCATCCCCCTCGAGCGGGCGGAGGCTGTGGAAACGGTGAGCCCACAGTGCGGCCGAAACAGAGACAGGCCTGAGCGTGGGCCGTGCATCTCCCAGGCTGTCCTGGGGTGCCACGGGGGAATCAGGGGGCGCTTTCTCCCTAGATGTCTCTCTCTAGACTTGTAGCAGGCTGGGCTGCAGCCCGGGTCCTGCTGTCCTGGACTAAACTTAGCTCCTGCGCTCAGCGCGGCCCGGACAGCGTCGGGCAGGGCGCCGGACGGCGTGCGTGCGCCGCTCCCCGCTGCTGGGCGAGGTTCATGCCTATCTTTCTCCGTTTCAAATAAGCAGAGAGGTGCGATTAGAGAGGAGGGAATACTTTGAACCTTTATTTTTCTTTTTAAAAAAGCATGTGAAAATCTAAGTGATTACAATTTCCTATGTGAAGTTTTCAGTGAAGTTACAAACAGTGGCCTAATTCCGTGCTTTTGCAAAGGATGAGGTGTTCTCTAATCCACTCATGTACATCACGCACTCAGATCTTCTCCCGTTCCGCGTTCTAACATGTCTGCCACACACACAGGGCAGCCGGAGCAGCGCCTGGGTCACGGGGGGAGCGAGGCCAACACTGCGGCCTTCGTCAATAGGAAAAGGTGCCCAGAACAAAAGTCCAAGGAGACAGGGTCGGGAAAAGCGACCTCCACCCGCCCCCACTGCACCCCCTGCTGTAATGCAACCTCAGGGGAGATGCTCAGCGAGGGAGAAGGCCCGCGCCCCGGCTGCAGGCCGTGCCCGGAGCAAGGCTGGGGGTGGGATGGAGACGCCGCTCTAGCCGGACAGCAGGGACGGGGAATGGGAAGTGTGCGTGAGGTCGCTCAGCCAGGCCCGGGGACCAGTGGCAGGGCGGAGCGACGCACTGCAGGCCTTTGCGGTGCAGGTCCTTCGTGCCCCTCACGCCGGCTGCAGCGCCGTGGGTGGGCGATGCACGTCCCCACGCCCGAGACGCGACGGGGGGCGGGCCTGCTGGCCAGAATGCCGGCCGGCTCTGGGCTGGGGCTCGAGCGACGTTTATTTTCCTCTCACTTTGCTGATCTCTAACTTTTCTGGTTGAATATGTAGCTTTTATACTAGTGCACTTTACTAATGAGAACCTTAGAGACCAGTGCGTGATTTTAAAGCCCCCTGCCCCACTGTCTGTGTTGTTGGTTTCCCCAATGTGCGGGGAAGACCCCCCAGGCTGTCAGCACACATGTTCATGCCACGTAGCTTTTTCTTCTTCTTTTTTTGTTTTTGAAGGAGAGGCTACTTGTCAAGCAATACAGGAGCAATATTTATTCATCTGTTTTAATATGTCACAAATTCTTTTAGAACACCGATGAATGTGCATTTCAGAGAGTGTAAACCAAATTTAATCCTAATCAGCTTTCACTTCTTTTGCTTTGGCGACACTGGAAGTACAAGCCAGCGGCCAGTGTTTATAAATGACTGATGGGCCCGCAGCGTGGCGCTGGCGTGGGGGCAGGGGGCTCCGGACACTGCCGTCCCCACGTCAGCTGCACCTGGGCCTGGCTCCCGAGCCGCTCACTCCTTCTTGAAGATCCGCTTGGCTTCGACGCCTTCGTACACGTAAGTCTGAAAGGTATTAGCAAGCATGGAATTTACCACTGAGACTTAAGGCTGAATTGAGGAAAGGTTGGACTCATATAGTATTATTGTAGGTTTGAAATGAATTTATAGCATTTTTTTCTTCTGCTTGATAGTGGCATTTTGTACAGGTACAGAATATACCCATTTCAAAACACATTTGGGTTTGTAGTCACATTTTCAGTTAGGATAGGCATCCATGTATTTGACACATATGTAAGTTCTTGTCAGTAGGCATCAGAAGAGATCTATATTTTTTAAATAGGAGGGTTTATGCAAAAAGTATTAGTGTATTTACTGAAGCTATAACTCAGCTGCCACGAAAATAAAGTTATTGTTACGTAGTTCCTTTGGCTTGGGACATTAGCTATGATCGTTTTCCCACTCACCTGGACCAGTTCGCCGCCGACAACCTCGCGGATTGCGTTCAGCTCATTTCCATTGTCTACGCGCTTGAATTTGCCAACCAGTTTACCTCCCTCCAGGTTCCAGGCCCCCTGTACGAAAAGAGCAATACACCAAAGAGCATTTGGAGGGTCTTGCACGTGTCAGCTACCACGCAGAGTCGCGGAGATGGGCCCCTCCCATCCTCGGGTGCCCCTGGGAAGCGGTGCTGTGCTCCCCGCTGCCCGCATGCGGAGGCGAGCGGGCGCCAGGCAAGGCCCGGGGTCGGACCGTCGCGTGCTCGGCTGCGTGTGCGCACCTCACCGGGTGCGCCTCACACGCGGCACCGCTCAGCCTTGCTCTAATGTAGGCAACTGTTACAGCAGTTTTTAAAAGGGCATAACGGATAAAAAATATTTAATAATTTGTGTCATTGCAAACATACGATTGAACTAGAAAAATTCTGAGCACAAAAAAAGTTTTTAAAAAATCAGTTGAACATATGATCCCCTAAAATTTAATACCTTCAGCGTTAAAAGGTGTGACCTATCTTCAGCATTAGAACTTTCCATTAGTCACTCATTCATTAATTTCTCCTTTATTTTATTATTTCTATTACATTTATTAAATGCCCATTATGTCTAAACTCTAAGATTTTGTTGCTGTCAGCTACGTGAAGCTGAAAACACCACACTTTATGAGCAGGTCTGGACTCAGTCATTGAGAGGGTTTCTTTCTAGTTCTTATTGTTCAACCCAGGTTCCTCACAGACATGGATGAAAATAAAGATATTTAAATACTCTGCTAGCTTGTGCAACATATAATGAGGATAAACTCCTAAATGAAAGAGACCTACATGAATTAAACCATCCAATTCCAGAAAGCAGAGATTATTTTAGTCGTATTATGTAGAAAAACCAAGAACACACTGCGTATAAAAAATTCCTTACACTGAGTTCAGTTCCATCCGCTAGGCTGTAATTAAAAGCAACACCAAGCTCAAAAACGATCTCAGCGTTCCGGAAAGTGCTAGATTCTTTGACTGTGAATTTGTTTCCTTCTTGTGTAATGATCAGTTTCAAGTTGTCGTGGGCTGCCAGCTTCCTCTTCACAATGTTGATACCTGCAAGAAGGGTGACATTGGGCACCGTGAAGTCAGAGCCCGGGCTCTGTGTTAATGCCTCGTTAATATGGGGGGGGGGGGCGGAAACCGGGGAGCACAGACTTTGTGCAAGAGCATTCTGATTGCTTCTGTAGGAGAAGGTCAAGCTCCAACAGAGAGGGAGCCTTTTTTCCAAAATTTAAGAAAAATGAAATGAAGGATAAAATGATAGAATCTTAGAACTGAGTAATTTTAATCCAATTATCAAATGTTTTGTGTCAGTGTTAAGTGAGCCAAATTCTGGATAGGACAGCGAAGGGTTAAAACTATAGTCACATATGGACGGGGGCGTTCAGCTTTAATTCTGCGTGTGCAGTGTTTTTTTGTTTTTTGGTTTTTTTTTTTTTGCTGCGCCCTTGCTTCCCGTAATGGCTTTAAATTTTAAACTTGATAATTCTCTCTGCTTTTTGTGGCATTTCTGACTCTCACAAAAATAAGACAATAGGCAATCATTATGGTCAAGTTCATTATTGCAGGATGCACAGATTCCCTAACTTTGCACTTAGAATCCCTGAACTGTCAGTTGCAATGGAAGCAGATTTTTATTCTGTAGTAATGACACAAAAGTTTTCTCCCATCTTGTGCAGTGAATGCGCTGCAGGAGTATTGGTAGAGATATTAAAATCAGTGCAATTAAAACCTCCTTTAGAAACTACATATTGTCATGAGATTATTCCAAAAGGCTTTCACGTTGGAGGAAAGAGAGCTCAGTTTCCTTCATTCAGCGCGGTGACCTGACAGAATGCTTCATTGCACGGTCTGTGCTTCGCCACCCCTAGAGCTCAGCCTTCTGAAGTCTGGACGTTACCGTTACACGCTGCCATTGGCTACTTTCTAACCAGAAACACCTGCCGGCTTTCCCTGGCGCGGGCCCGGCTAGCCGCTGGCATGAATGCGGCGCACCTGGATCTCTTTGTCTCGGAGGACAGCACCCAAGGATCTGTTCTCCTCTGGGAACAGGGGAGGCGGTTTCCCCACTTGCCTGGCCCCTGCCTGGGCCCTCCGGCTGCAGTGGGGGCGCTGCCTAAGCCCTGGGGCTTAGAGGGAGTTAGGGAGGTCCCCGTGAGAAGCAAAAGAAGGAGCCACTAACGATGAAGCACTTACCCATTTTTTCCATGAACTTGTCATAGTTCTCATTGCGGTTGATATTCCAAGTCCCGTCGAAAGCCATGGTCTGCAGCTGAGTCAGCCTCTGGGCAGTCGAGGCCCAGGACTGGCCTTGCAGAGAATTTATTCTACTTCTTATCTCAGATTCAACTGCACGCTGTGATGTGGAAGATTAAAGTTCAAGGGGTCATCCAAGGAGACAAAAGCCAAGATGGTTTTCTTCCTATAAATTTCTTAGTTCCTCTTCTGAAATTCGACTGAGTCCAACACGATAAGCATCCTCTTTCCTGAACTACAATTGTTTGTGGGCACATTTATTTTAAGAATTAGAATGCATAGTATCTGAAGATAGGTTTTTTTTTTTTTTTTTTGCTCACAAGTGCAAAGTGCACACTTTATTGGAGATAACGTAACTTGGAGCATATATCAAATAACATCTGGGAAATGAGGCTCTTAATGACCTTTCATTTTTACAGTGGCAACTACCTTGTCAATAAGACTTTCTGGTCAAATATAGCTGCAACTGTAAAGCTAGCGTGATACGGAGACTGAGCAGACACCGCCTTCATGAGCTGCGCGCCGCCGTGTGTTTCGGGGTTGCTGGGAGTGTGGGTAAATAGCCCGGCGCAGAGCATGCCACGCAGGGCAGACTCGGTCTGGTTTCCTTCTGCTCTTGGAGGGCGATGGCCGCTGATAAAAATGTGGGGAGGTGGCGGTGGGGCTGGTGACTTGTGAACCCCACTAAGGGAGCTGAGCTTCAAACAGCTGCCATGTGCAAAGGAAACAAAAGCCAGATGTCAGCCATGCCGTTCATTACAACCACTCCTTTGTTCTGCATGCACCGCCCTGCGGCCTGCCAACCTGGCGCAGCCGGATGCCAGGGCCCCCTGTGGGGTGGGGGGGGGCGAGGAGCCGGAGGGCGTGGGAAGGAGCTCAGCGCCGCTTCCCCCAGCGCAGGCCCAGGGCCGCCGGGCCGGGGCGGCTGCGGGAAAGCCGCCCCCCTAGTGTGCAGAGCACAGTCGTGATTATTAACCAGCTGAAGTAAACGCGGCGATTCTTGTGTGTGAACGTGACTAGAGAGCCTATTATTATTGTTATTATTATTACATGTGTAGGGGAGCTACCCCGCCCACCCGAGATTTAATTCAGGGCCAGAGAAAGGACGCCCCTAACAAATTTGAGGGGAACATGGGGTTTCTGTTTGATTGCACTCTCTGGGAACCCCCTTTCGGTGGAGTTGCCCCGCCTTTCATTCCCTTGAGCGGGCATGTGATGTGGCAGGACAGTGGGCGTCAGCCCCGGGGGGCGGGGAGCGACCAGCACGTTTCCTCTGGCCCCTCAGGGGACCGGCCGCTGGGCTCCTGCTCTCATCGGCAGCTTCTCGCGGTCCCTACTGTGTCCCCGAGGGGCAAACACATGAACGTCTGGTGCCCCTGTCTCCCAGCCAGCCGCCCTCTGGTGCTCAGGCCCCGCAAGGCCGCCTGCCCTGCGCCCTCGGGCCAAGCGGGCCACCTTCGGTGCAGCGACCTCCCAAAGACCTCAGCGTCACTGCTGAGACGCAGAAACAGCCGGCTCGTGATACCAGGGAGACGCCAGCGCCATCCCAAAGTCCGGAGACTTGCGTCTCTCGCTCGTCCCAAAGGGACAGGTCCCGGCACGGCGGGACCCCTTCCACCCCTGGTCCTGAGGAGGGAAAGAGGTTCCAGAGTAGTTGTAAAACTATCACTTAGGGGAAACCACATTCTCAGGCCTTTGACGGATGCCTGAATCCTGCTTTACAGGCCCCCCGGGGCTGACTTATCCACCTGCAGGGGCCCTGGACACAGGCGGGGCCGGGCCAGGGAGCAGCGGGGAGGTCCCCGCAGGGCGGCGCCGCAGGGGAGCTCAGCGGGCGCCCCTTTGGTTTAACCAGCCGCTTCATTTAGGAACGGACACCTGCTGCCTCTTAGGTTCTGCACCTGGGAGGGTGGGTTGGGTTTCTTCCCCGAAGACCACAGAGCGGCGGGCAGCGCGGGTCGGGGGTGAGGCTGCCGCTTCTCATTCATCAACAACCAGGCGGCCGCCCTGCGCCCCGCTGTGGCCGTCCAGCGACCCCTGCACCTCCTCCGGCTCTTTGTGGCCTGGGTCTGCCCCAGAGCTGGGGGGCGGGCGCTGCGCTCCGGGCCCCGCCGCAGGGAGGGCGGTGGGTGCTCACGGCCTCTACTCGCTCCCCGCCATGCCCTACCCTGCCCTTAAACCTTGTGTTTTGTCTGTTGTTTTAAGCTCCTGAGCCCACTTCTGTGTGGGCGCCGCCTGGCAGCCCGCACCCCGCTCCCCGCAGGGGCCCCCCGCCCGGTCTGCTGTCTACCGCCCGGCCCGTCTAGCCTGCCCTCTGCCACCCATGGCCGACAGCCTGGCCACCGCCGTCCGTGTCCTGGTGCTGTCCTGGGCGACCTCGAGGTCCCCGCGGACGGGCCGCCTGTCACGCTGGCCTCGCGGTGGCCAGCCCTTGTCACCTCCACGCTGTGTCTGCAGACACGCAGGGCTGCAGCTGCCACCGGTCAGCGCCACTGCCCCGCCTTGGGGAGGGTCCCAGGCTGCGCTGGGCTCCCCGTCCCCTCGCTCGGTCCCCCAGCTTGGAAGGCAGGCCCTGGCGTGGAAGGGCTGCGGTCAGCAGGGGCCTCTCTGTTCCCCCAAACCGGGGCTTCTACGTTGGATCCGGGGCTGCTCCAGTGGGGAGACCCCCTGCCCCCCACTTTCTCCTGTGCTGAGTCAATGCCCCCTGCCCCTCCAGACCAGCACGGTTCCGGCTACGCCTGACCCTTCCCCGCGGACACCCCCTCAGCCTTTGAGAAGCTGTTCAATGCCGCTTCCCCACAGCCAGCCTGGCCCCCCGTCCCGTGGGCCGCCCGCCTGTTCCCAGGCGCGCTCCAGCATCCGCGGCGGAACGGCCTGCGCGCTCCTTTCACTGAGGGGAGTGCTCTGCCCGCGGGCTGGTTCCTCCGAGAGATTCCCGACTTGAGGGCGGAGACGCCAGAGTGTGCAAAGCGGGTACACACAGGGATCGCGTGCGTCCTAATCAGAGCCGTCAGGGCCCGTGCCCCCGGCTCTGCGAGAGCAGCCGACAGGCTGGGCGACAGCGAACAGGAACCCCGCCCCCGCCTGTGTTCTGCTCTGATTCCCAGGGTTCACCAATGTGATGCGGGGACGCGCCTGCCGCGCCACGGAATCGAGGCGCCCCCTTCGCGGGCCTTCCAGAAGGGAGCGCGGTGCGGACCCTCGGCGGCGAGGCCGTCTGTTTGGCGGAAGCCTACACGGGACTGCTAGGGAGCGGATTGTTTTAGGAACACGTTAAGCATGAACAACTATCAACATGTTCTCATTTTATTAGATATTCCTTTACATCATTCGGAAAAAAATTTAAAATTATAAGTTAATGAGCAGCGAATGCACTTAAGTTAGAAAACATTCAAAAGCATAAAGAAAAATTAGTGGAGGGCACGAGCCCTACCAGCTGGATGTTATTGCTGCAGTGCTTACGCAGGGTTCTCCCAGGGGACGGCATATGAGTGTGTTCGAATGCGCTCGTGCATGCTCGCATGCGTTCCCGTGCATTTCTATATCCGTGTGTGTGCATGCACGCACACGCATGCCACACATCCACCTTCCTTCGGCACCAGGCGTAGGCGGGTTGCAGGGCACCCCGCAGCCCTGCCGAGCACACGAGGCGGCGGCAGCGAACCTGGAGAAAGGCGCAGCGGAGGCCACAGGGCGCCCGGCGCCAGCACAGCAGGCCGGCAGGTGGCAGGTGCCAGCTGGCCATGCGTGCGGCGCAGGGCGCAGCCTTCTCTCTGCGGCCAGCTCGTCTACACGGGACGGGGACCTTTGAAACACAGATAAGGCCCCTCAACAGCCTTAGTCGGACATTGAAATTTGCCCTCAGGCAACGCAGTCACTCTCCTTTTCGATAGCAATCGCTTCTGAAATCGCCTGGCCATTCAGGACACAGATTAATTTAAGTGGAATCACTCTCTTTAATGACTTAATTGGCCCCTCACTATCTCTGTGCTTATCCCTCATCTCGCCACCCGCCCTCGCGACCGCAGGTGCAGAGGCCCAGCGAGGGAGGTCAACGAAGACACAAACCCGCCGAGGCCGGTGTCTGTCCCTGGGAGAAGCTTCTCCCTGGCCCGCACTGAACGCAGTGGACGTGTTTTTCCGACGACGTCAGCGATGGACCCTTCCCAGGGCCTGGGGCGGGGGCGGCTGGTCGGGGGCCACACAGAGAGCTGCCACCTTCCCCGAGGCCCCTCCCTCCCCGGGGCTGCAAGGGGAAAGTTTCACAACTCGGCCTTGAGCCCCAACATCACTTCACTGTCCAAGCCGTGGTTTTAGTTGAGCCTTTAGAAGCGGTTTGTCTGCTGCATTTAGGGCACAACACCATGCTCCTCCTTCAGTCGGGATGCTTGTCACCGGCGCCCCCAGGTCTCCAGGCCAGAGCTTCTGGCCTTGCCCGGGGGCTGGAGCGGGCAGACCGGCTGGGGCAGGGGGCGCCCCTGTGGTTGCTCTGGCCCCGCGCGCCTGCCCCAGGTGAGCAGCCCGTCCCTGCGCGTGGAGGCTCAGACTGTATTGCGTGCGCCCCTTGATCAGGACCGGCGCGGGGGGCCGCTGGCCAGGCACTGGCCTTGTGCACAGAACGGGGTCAGGAGCAAAACTCAGCAACCAAGATAAGCAATATTTTAATGAAATATTTGTTTAAAATAAATCATGCAAAAAGCATGGTGAACAAGATACCAAAGTGTAACCAAAGACAAGGCTAGTGCAGGAGATGCCAAGTGCTGGGACTGCTCTGAGGCTCGTTGCCCACAGCCCTCCCCGGTGGCCCCACAGCTCATCGCTTTCCGCTGGAAGCCTCCCGGCTGCCGCCCCTGTCCACCTCTGCGTTGGCGCTGAGGCTCTGTGCTCCGCAGCTCACTTCGAAGTGTGTTCTGCATGTATCGTATCCATCAAGATTTTCAGTTGCAGTTGCAGTTGCCTAGCGCCCACGCCCTCATGCACCGGGCCGTGCATGAACCTTCAACGGCC